ATATATATATATATTATTATCATTATTATTATTAATTTACAGTCACACAACAAACACAAAGTGTAGTGATAATGTTAAAATGATTTTTAAAAAGCATGGCCTTTAAAAGTAAAAAATCATATTTCAATTTTCCATAATTCCAGGTGCAGATATAGCATAATCTTCATTTCATTCTAATAACTCAACCTAAATTAGTGAAGAGTTTTTACTACATGTCATTCAAAATTATGTAAAATAATAAATTAATGGTTGACTTGACTATCCTCTCTTCCATTTGTCTTTAATTTTATGAATCTCAACTTGCTCCCTAAACACCATATCTGCTAATATTCCTTCAAAAAGATTCGAGTACAGTAGTAGAAAAATGAAACCATCTATCATAAGGAAAATTCTCCCCCGCCCCTTTTTTCTGGATTGGGTGAATGTAAAACATGATTTCTTTATACTTCTCAGCTTCGGTGCTTATATTCCATGTTAATTCCTATTATAGTTAATGCATTCTGATATGAAGCTCTCCTTTAAAATAATTATGGAATCCTCTGAATTTTTCTAATAAATAAATCCTCATATGATCTACAGTAATAGGTTATAGATGATGTGTTCTTACACCAACTATATACTGCATGATGTAATAAATCTGAGTTACACATCATTGAACAAAACTGAGATATTTTTAGTAATATTTTTAGTGATTGCAAAAATCATAGATACATAGATAATTTTCTATATGGTATAGAGGATCTCTAAGAATCTACCTAACTCATAATGTGGTTAAATTGTTGACAAGTTTTCAATTTTAAACCCATCAATATCTGGTCATAGATACTCATCCATAGCTATTCACATTCATCGCTCAATATGATAGGCAACGGTGATAAATACATACTTATGTACTATGGGCCTCATATTTGGTCAAGTGGGGAGGAAAAAAGGTGCACAGAAAAACACAATGATCTCATATTTCTGATAAAGCTATCAGAAGCATGGATGTACCAAATGAAGGTGCTAGAACTAGAGCACAGATTTTCAGAGTTATAGTCAAGTGGATTTTATACCTCTCATAGATACTTAAATAAGAAAATGTAATATGCCTAAAAATAGTTTGATTTGTAGATATTACAGTGGTTGTGTTATATGTTGAATCTGATCTGTTATATTATTTGAGTATTAGAGTGACAAACTAAAACAATGTATGTGTCAAGATTTTGGACATTTTATTTTAAACTCAAAGGGATAAAAGTAGGTATCTATCATTATTAAGTGGAATAAGTTGAAAATGTCTTTTAAAACAAAATATCCTGTAAAAATTTAATTAAAATGTGTACATACAGGGATTTGAAAAAATAGGTTTACTGTTTTGAAATAGGTTTCAGTATGTGAAACACGAAGTTTATTCCTGTATTATTATTTATTAATTGCTCTATTATTTTCTATAGAAACAACTGTAAACATACTGTTGCCCAACCCTGTACTTATTTGGGGATATTGTAAAGACCCTATTAGCATGGTAGTTTTATGAAAACTTGATTTTCCAATTAGATAATGTCCTGGATGACACCAGAGTTACTTCCATAGTCCAGGCATTGGTATCCTAAAGTTCACAAATGATGAGGATACAAGCACTGTCCCAGACCAGAGGCGAAGTGAGGCATTTTTGCCATGAAAGCAAGACTGAGGAGGAAATAGCAACCAAAATCTATGTGCCTGACATTCACTAAGTGTTTTCATTTTTCATTAAATACAAGCACCAACCCACTGAAATGATCTTATTATTCTTATATGGAAATGAGGTTCAAAGAAGTTAAGTAACTCCTTTATGTAACTTAAGTCTTAAAGGATTATGTATACAATATAATTTTTCCTAGTTAAACACAAACACCAACACTAGTAACATTAGTCAATAACTTAATGGGACTCTGGGGATGTTTGCCAACCCTAATAGCCCCAAAGAACGACATGATTTATGACATCTATTAAATGAATTAATTAATTTGTTTGTTTATGTATTAGGCTTCTTTCCAAATACAATTTGGAATAGTATGTGACTTATTTAAATATTGTGCGGTTTCCAAAATGTGAAAGGCATGATTTCAACACTGTGATGTCCTTTTATCTACTAAATTTGACATATGTAAAACTCAATAAATATTAATATGGGACAAAACTACTGGAATAGTAATTTATTTAGTACATATCTAGTAATTTGGTGGTATACTGAGATGATACTCTGAGCCTGGCAGTTTTTCTAGATAATGGGAATATGACAGACCAAAAAAAAAATCCTGTCACAATTCTGCTTATATTAGTTTTTTTAAAACTAAAAGTAACATATTTCTATACAATAACAAGGCATATGTAACTAATGTAGCTGAATAAATGTAAATTTATATAAAGAAAACGTAACCTTGAGATTTCAACTATTTTCTTTATTATGTACTTAATTAGAAGTACATTTTTACTTCTAATTTCCATTCTTATAGTTAGTGTCAAACAGTATGTTTTGACTTAATGATGGTGAGAATGTAGTTAATTACTACAGAAGGTAATTGCAGATATGTATGAAAGATGTTCTAAACCTGCAAACATAAGGAATTTCAATGAGACTATAATGGACAAAATAATAAATGCTTACTATCAGGGGATATCTGGATTTAGTCATTTTTCTTAAATACATAATTACCAAGAAATTGCTCAGACCCATGTAATTTTCTTCATAATAAAGGCAATCGCATTTTGTCAGGAAATACTAACCCTATTATTATCATTACACACAAACATTAGGTAATTTGTTTTCAAGCACACAAAGAGTTTTCTCTTGGACATGGTTTCCAAAATTGTTTTTCCTCAATGTCTTTGAAATCAGCTAAACTGATGTATTCTGTAACAGTGCAATTCACAAAATTTCTCAAATATGATTTAGCATCAGGGAGTACTACAAAGTGGTTTGATTTGTGGTTGTTGTTGTTCACTTATAATTTTTTTATTCATTTAAAAAATTTTAGTGCATTTAACTAGATGTTAAGGTCTACTTAAAAGAGAGTAGAAAAAACTGCAGTCAAACTCTCCATGTAACCACTGAGAGGATCATGTGCTTTTCTTTCTTCCTCCCCCCAACACTGCTTTTAAATTCTACATGTTTTTTTAAATATATTTTATTGATTTTCTACAGAGAGGAAGGGAGAGGGATAGAGAGTTAGAAACATCGATGAGAGAGAAACATCAATCAGCTGCCTCCGCATACCCCC